ACCGCCCTCATTCCGCATGTGCGTGGACTACACGGATCTCAACAAGGCATGTCCCATGGACCCCTTTCCTTTCCCAAACATTGATCAACTTGTAGATGAAACCGCGGGGTGTGAAATCATGTCATTTCTCGACGCATTCCGCGGGTATCATCAAATATTTATGCATGAGGAAGATGCTGAAAAAACAACCTTCATGACTCCCGAGGGCATCTTCTGCTACCTCGTCATGGCCTTCGGCCTAAAGAACTCAGGCGCCACCTACACTCGGATGGTGGCCAGGGTATTTCAAGCTGTCTTAGGGTGCACCATGGAGGCATATGTTGATGACATGATCGTCAAAAGCAAGCAATCAGCAAGCCATGCAGACGACCTGAGGGAGATCTTCGCCATCATGCAGAAGTTCAACCTTCGGCTAAACCCGAAGAAGTGTACCTTCGGCGTACAAGGGGGCAAATTCTTATGCTACATGGTGAGACGAAGAGGTATCGAGGCCAACCCCGAGAAGCTCCAGGCCATCATCAACATGGAACCCCCACGCAACGTAAAGGAGGTCCAACGATTGACGGGCCGCCTGTCAGCCCTCAATCACTTCTTATCAAAATCGGCGGAGAAGTCCTTACCCTTCTTCCAGATCATGAGAAAAATTGCCGGTTTCCAGTGGACTTCAGAGTGTCAGGGGGCCTTCGAGGAACTGAAACGGTACTTATCTTCACCCTCTGTGCTCTCTAAACCCAAGGTGGGGGAGATCCTATACCTTTACCTGGGTGTTAGCCCGACAGCCATCAGCTCAGTACTCATCCGGGAAGAGGATGGCATCCAACATGCCATCTTCTATGTTAGCAAGACCCTCAGGGAAGCAGAGCTCCGGTACTCCCCTGTGGAAAAAAACGTTGTTGGCTATCGTGTGGACCGTCAAGAAGTTGGGCCATTACTTCCAGGCTCACCCGGCCCAGGTCCTCACTCACCAACCCCTCGGCGCTTTGATGAGGAGCCCCACCTGCTCCTCCCGAATGGTAAAATGGGCTGTCTTCTTGAGCCTATACAACATCGACATCCGTCCTAGGCTCGCCATCAAGGGCCAAGCCCTAGCGGACTTCATGACGGAATGTACAGCAAGATCAGCCACGGACGAGGAGCCCTCGGCCCCTTCAGATGATTGGTGGACCCTCTACACCGACGGCTCCTTCGCCGTCAAGGCATGTGGAGGAGGGGTGGTTCTCATCTCACCCGAAGGCTTCCGGGCCTATTATGCAGTCCGCTTCTCCTTCAAAGTCTCTAACAATGAAGCTGAATACGAGGCCCTCCTCTGTGGCCTTCGGCTGGCAGCTAACATGAAGGCCCGACAGATTCACGTCAAGTGCGACTCCAAGTTAGTCGTCAGCCAAATCTCCGGGGAGTACGAAGCCAAGGAAGGAAGGATGAAGTAGTACAAAGAAGCGGCCAAGGAGTTGCTTAAGGTATTTGAGGCACACTCTCTTACTCAAATACCGAGGACTCAAAACTCCGAGGCCGACATTTTATCCAAGCTCTCGGCCGAATCCCCTGAGCATATCTCAAAAATTGCCAAAGTGGAAGAGCTCAGCCTCTCTAGCATACATGCTAGCCCCATCATGCACATACAACAAAGGCAAGATGACTGGATCTCAGACATTGTCGCCTTCATCACCACAGGGCAACTGCCCAAGGATGAGGCCCGTGCCAAGCTCGCAAAGCTGAGGGCTCCTAGCTAAACTATCGAAGACGGGAGGCTTTACAAAAGGTCGTACAACGGGACGTTACTTCGGTGCCTTCATCAAGATGAAGCCGAAGTTGCGATGGAGGAAGTGCACAGTGGCACTTGTTCAGCTCACCAGGGACCCTTCTCCATGTCCCGAAGGCTAATAATCCAGGGCTACTTTTGGCCTACGATGGCCCGGGATTGTGCAGATCTCGCCCGAAGGTGTGCCGCATACCAACACTTCCAGAAAGCCCCCGGCAGGCCAGCGGTCAACTATGCCCCCATCAGCACATCCATACCCTTCGCTCGATGGGGCATAGACCTTGTGGGCCCTCTGCCGAGGGGTACCTCCAACAACGGGTACATCATCGTCGCAATTGATTACTTCACCAAATGGGTGGAAGCTGAACCCCTCGCCAGCATTACTGAGGCCAGGTGCCGTCATTTTGTTCTCAAGAACATCCTCACAAGATTCGGCGTCCCCCAGCAAATCATCTTCGACAACGAGACTCAGTTTGAGGTAGCCCCCTTTTGTGCCCTCCTAGAGGCATGGGGCATCAAACACACCTTCTCATCCGTTGCCTACCCCCAAGGCAACGGTCAAGTGGAGAACGCCAACAGGACCTTGCTCGAGGGCCTAAAGAAGAAACTGGAGGCCGAAGGGAGCGGTTGGGTAGAAGAGCTCCACAACATCTTATGGGCCTACCGTACCACCCCTCGGCGAGCAACATGCGAGACACCCTTCTCCCTTTGCTACGGATTTGAAGCTAAGGCCCCCACTGAGGTAACTCTTTCGACCCGAAGGGTCACACAATATGATCCAGAGGCCAACGACTCCGGTATGGCCCTCGACCTTCACCTTATTTCAGAACGCCGAGAGCAAGCCTTCATACGCACGGAAAACTACTGAAGGCAAGTGAAGAGTTACATTGATGCCAAAGTCCGCTCCCGGGAATTCCAAGTGGGGGATTATGTCCTCCGAAGAAGAGAAGCTAGCCAACCAACCGAGGGCGGAAAGATGGCACCAAAGTTCGAGGGCCCCTACATCGTTGCGGCCGTCATCAAACCAGGAACATACAAACTAAAACGCCCCAATGGGACTGAAGTCCCTAGACACTGGAATGTACATCACTTAGTTAAATTTTATCAATAACATCAGAGCGGCCAAGCCCTCATAACTAGTGAATGTATTATTTTACGGCCCAAGGCCTAAAAATTTTGAAGAATGAGGGCATATTGAAGACACCAAGAACATGGAACAAGATTCTTACGAGTGGCCAAGCCCTCATATCACCCCCTGGCCCAAGGCCTTATCACAAACAAGAACCCTCGGCACCAAGTGCCGAGGGTAGACAATACTATCACCTGCAGCAAGGAAGAAAGTACCAACTGTCTTCACTGGAGACCCCTCCGGCACCAAGGGCCGAGGGCATACACCTCAATCACCTACAACAAAGGAAGAAAACACCCAGTGTTTTCAAAGAAGACCCCTCGGTACCAAGTATCGGGGGCCATTCACCGGAACAAACACCAAGTGTTGTTTCTAAAGCCGTACCCCTCGAGGACGCATATACCGAAGGCACCACCTATCGGTGCCGGAGGCACGTAGTGCCCCCCGGCCATTTGTAACCAGTGTGCAAATGAAAACCCTTCCCTGAAATGCTTTCCGCGTCATTACCCTAAGGGTATGACAGGCAAGTAATATGCCCAGGATTCGACTTTCAAAAACGGAACGCTTTCCACGTCATTTCCCCAAGGGATTGGCAGGCATCTAATATGCCCAGGATTCGACTTCCAAATCAAAATGCTCCCCGCGCCACTACCCCAAGGGTGTGGCAGGCCACGGACTATGTCTGGCGCCGAGGGGACGACTTTCAAAACTGAGGCGCTTTCCGTGCCATCCCCCAAGGGGAGGCAGGCTACAGACCATGTCTTGTGCCCAGGAAACGACCCTCGATCCCCTCGGAAATCGGAAGGTCAACCCGAGGGGGGAACTAATGGTGTATTCTGTTACCTCCCGATAGGCCAAGCCTTACCAAGAAACCAAGTTTCTTGAAGCCTTCCCTTCACTACAAAAAAAAAATGGGGTGGTGAAGGGGAGTAGACTCAGCGAGAAATCAATGAGTACATCACTCCAACAATTCACGGAAACATACCGAGGGCTCTCCACGGGAACACCTTCGGTACATGGAAGCTGCTAATTACCAAAGATACTATTCAAAAAACATCATCAACAAATGGCTAAGTCCACTCCTTGATTACCTCCGGCTACATCAAAACCCAAGGCTGAAATCCTACAGAACGTGACAGGCTCACTAAACAACAACTCAAAACGTCCCCGAAGGCTACTATATAACAAGGCTATCAGATGTTGGCCAAATCAAAGCAAGAATCACCTCCGGCACCTCACTAGATGCCGAGGGGATACACCCAGACAATGTCCGAGGGAGTCTATCTTTTTATGCTAGACTTGGATCACAAACTTTCCTGAGTCAACATTGTGGGGACATAACAACAGCCGAAGGCTTTTGCTGCCGCAGGCCAACAATGCAAGACAAAGGAAACTGTTCTAGGCCCGCAAAGTAGGCGGCCAAAGGGTCCCCGCCCGAAGGCCAGCAACAGGAAATACTTAGAAAATTTTTCTAAGTCCTAAATACTTTTCCCTCTGTCGAGTCACCGGTCAACCGAAGGTACACCTACGACAGGGCTCTCAGATTTCACCCGAAGGCTTCTACCTCATACAACTACACTTAGAAATATTTTCTAAGTCCTAAATATTTTTGACCCTCGGTCAAAACTCCATGCAGCCAGAGGGGCCACACGGTCGAGGGCTTGGTGAAACTACACTTAGAAATATTTTCTAAGTCCTAAATATTTTGGGCCCTCGGTTATATATCCATGCAGCGAAGGGTGCCCACGTACCGAAGGCTAGACGGTATTCAAACACTCAGAAAAAAATTTCTAAGTCCTAAGCGCCTTGCCTCCGGTTATCTCATGAAGGCTACACAGAACCAGAGGGAAGGAATTAGCCGGGGACCAACAGATGAACAACACTTAGAAAAGATTTCTAAGTCCTGAACGTTGGGCCCTCGGTGAAATGTTCAGATGACTAAACGGTCCTAGTAGCTGAGGGCTACAGGAGACACTATACTTAGAGAAATATTTTCTAAGTCCTAAAATTTTGCCCCCCGGCCCGAGTACCGCACAAACATACATTCAAAGAAAGACGAAGGCATACATTAAAAGAAAATGGGGGCATACATTCAAAAAAAAATTCAAAGGAAGACGATTAGGTACAAAAGCCCGAAAGCAGAATATATGCAAAAGCCCGAAGGCATCCTTTCATCAATTCACAAATAAAGAGTCATATCGCCATACATTAAGGCCGAAGCCAGGAGGCTGTACATGTTCGATTACAAGAAAAGAAGAGAAGAATTTTCTAAGGACTACATGATAACAACATCATCATTTACAACAGCATCGCCTCCGTCGGTAGGCTTTGACGTAGCATCCCCCACAACATCCTCTTCTTCATCGCTGCACTCCGCCATCAGGACGGTGTCCTCGAGATCTGGCCTGCTAGTGCCCTCGGGGAGGGGAACTCTGGTGTCTGGCTGAAGAGGGGGGAGCCCGTAAGCCGCCGGGTTAAATGCCGACGAGTCTGCTCCCAGGTGCCTGGCCAGCCTCCGGTAGATGAGGGCTTGAGTGAAGTACTCACCCCATCGTAATATTCTTTCCCCTTCTGGGCCAGCCACATTGCCCCGGGGCCTCTCACCCATTCCTTTACGGAGGCCTCGACAACCGCAGTCAACCACGGTTTCTGGGCCTCAGCTTTCCATCCCTCGGCGACGAAGGCTGTCACCGCTTCCTCCACCACCTCCTTCTTGGCGATCTCGGCGTCTTCAGCAGCCTTCTTGGCGGCCTCAGCGGCTGCCTTCTCAGCTTCATCCCTCCCCTCGGCTTGCGCCAGTACCTTGGCATTTTCAAGGATTTTCTCGAAGGCAGCCCTCTCAACCCTGGAAGCCTCCTCTGCCTCCCGAAGCCGCCTTTGGGCCACAACCAAGGCCTCATCATCCTTCTGCTTCTGGAGGGCATAGCGTTCCATCCTCTGGGTGAGTTCACCAAGGCCGAGGCTTGCCTGCAAAAGGGATCACGAGTCACCGAAGGTTAAAACCACCACGCAAAAAAAAAGGAGAAGGAAAGGGGAACTTACAGTGACTGAGGCCTGAAGGATCTTGGAAAAGAGGGCATCATCGGTTTGCCGAGACAACACAGATTTATCCATCGGGGGGGGTGGCCCCCCTCAGGAACTCCCTCGGGTTCAACGTCGCATGCATAATGGCAGTCCCCTTAGTAATGGAGAACTGCACATTATCTTGAGGCCATGTCAGTCCGGGGGCTTGGGCCGAGGGCTCAGAGGAGGAGTGCTCCTCCACGATAACAACTGGGGCCTCTTTCAGCTCGGGCCCCCCCTTTTTTCTGCTTCTTCCCCTCCGGGGGCACCGCGGCCTTCCCGACCCGTTTCCTCTTCAACGCCTCAGCAGGGGAGCTTTCTCGGGAACCAACGTCGTCGCTGGCGGCAGCTTTCTCCTTGGGCACGCTCTCCTTGGCCCCGTCGTTTGTACCCGCCCTCGAGAAGATCTCGTCCACCCCCCTCTGTTGCACCGAGGGGTCCTTCTTTCTATTCTCCTTAGCAAGTTGCTTCTTCAACTTTGAGAGATTCCTGGCGTCCATGTCTGGTCCTGAAAAGCAAGGGAAATACAGAAGGGTTAGGAGGATAATACTACAAAAAGAAAAGGAAAGAAAAATATTCTAAGTACAAAATGGGAGCCCTCAACAAGTTGACTACCTCCGGCGCTTTGATATACCCTATCGACAAGGGGATATCTCTCGTCGCTTTCCCCCATCAACCGATACCGCCGAAAGCCCAGGTTGTAAAGATCGTCTGGGAGGGTAGCATCCCTGATCTTGGTGTGCTTCTCAGACCCCTCGGGCTTCTTGGAGAGCTTCCACCCCTTTTTCTCCAAGGCGGCGCTCCCTACCTTGACGTGCCTTCGGAAGCTATCACGGAGTGGGGCCGGGAAGGGATTCTCCGCCATCCGAACGTAGCAGAACTTATCTTTCCATCCCTTGTGGGACGAAGGGACATCATCGAAAAACCTGAATTCGGGAAGCTGCTGCAGGTTGGCAAAGCCCCCGGCATTCGAATGCCCCCCCCCCCCCCCCCCCGGCACAGGTTGAAAGAAAGGAAGAATTGGTCCAGCGAAGGCTCCACATCCCGGCTCCGGCATAGGGAAAGAAAGCCAGCCAAGTAGGAGTGGCTGTTCGGGGTCAATTGGCAGGGAGCAAGCTTGACAAACCGAAGGTACTCCACCACGAAGGGATGGAGGGGGAATCGGAGGCCCAACTACACGCTTAACCTAAGGCCACAGAGCTACAACTCGCTAATACTACAACAGATGGGCGGAGATCTGACCTCGGGAGACTGGTTGATCGAAGGCAGCTGTTTCTCTCTCTAGAAATTTTGGCAGAGCTCCGCTAACACACTGATCGCACAAGGGGGGAAGTGCTCTGGCCCTGGGGTATTTATAGGCACTTGGATCCGGGCTTGGGCCTGGAAGCCGGACCTCCGGTTGAACAGCCATCATTACGAACCGTCGAATTGCCCAATCGGTGACGCCCGTCCACAGGCAGCCAACGAACATGCACCACGTGGAAGCCCCCCCAACGACTATATTTACAACGGCTATATTCTGGGAGCGCCCGGTTACATTCGGCGGGCCACTCCTTCCTCAGCCAAAACACTAGCCCCCGGGCATTCTCTTTCACTCCACTTCATCAGGAGGGGCTCCCGGGTATACTTACCCAAAGATGCTCCCGGTTTATGCCCCTCATGCTACATCACAAAGGCCTTCGGGCTTACTCCTTCAGAAGCCCACAGCTTCATAGCGCGCACACCCTCGGCAACACCGGAAACATCACCCACATTCATCACGCCCTCATCCTCATAATTTGGGGGCTCCCCCTTCGGCATCTCTCAGGACAACGACAGAGAACCTCCGGGAAATCAACACACGCGCCTTCAGACAGAGATAACCTTCGGCAAAAAATATTGCACTCATTCCAAGCCAGGATTTCACCTTTTCGACTCATCATTGGGGGAATTCGGTGCACTCTTTTTCCCTCATTGGAATTTTTTCCCACAGGGTTTTTTCCAATGAGGTTTTTAACGAGGCATCCCCCCAAAATGAAACGAAAACCGTCACCCCTCGGCTCTATATTGCAGGCAGGCACTACTCTACTCCTTTTCACCACTTTGCAAGTGCCTCAAGGAGTGGGGGACTGGAGGACCCCTTCGGGAAAATCCCAAAATACAAAAAAAACGTCAAAACTCCCACAAACAAAGAGCATGATCCCTCAAGTCCCGGAATGTGGGTAACTGAGTGACTGCCCTCGGCTGAAACATGCACACAACAAACTATTCACAAACTCCACAAACTACAACAGAACAACACCAAAAGGACAAGCACAGATTACTCCTTTTCCCTCAAGTACCTTTCGGCAAAAGGAGTGAGGGACTCCTGATGGAGTATATGGCCCAGGAACCCCCGGCCCATAGACTCCTACTATTCTGATAAAGGCCCAATAGGCCCAGGGGGCACAGCAGGCCTAAAACACAGCGCCCCAAGTACTGAGCAACCCACGCAGCACATTGGGAGCGCCTTCGGCCCACTGGCCGAAGGCTCCAGATTCTCACAGGATGACCAACTCAAGCAAACAGAATTACTGGGAGAAAACGGCGAAAATCAGTAGCCCTCAGTACCTAGAGCCTTCGGCACTAAGGAGGTTCCCGGTACTCAGAGCCCTCGGCTAAACACCTGCAGCCGAGGACACCTTTCCCGACATAATATCCATTCCACATGCGCCGGGATCACCGTACCAAGTACGACGTCACATCCAACAACCGCAATAAATGCGACCATATGTGATTGCCAGCACCAACCAGTTGATGTGACCCCTCGGCCAATAGATGTTTGACACGTATCTCTCTTACTTACTTGCTACCCCGGGTACACCGTCCATCACCATGCTGCCTTGGCAATCACCAACATCAAGACCCTCATCCCTATCGAGTTGGATACAGAGAATGGCATGTATCACTCCCGGGCTGCTTTATTCAAAGTTCTTGTTAGGGTTCATGATGTCTATGAGCACATCATCCCTCATGTCCAACCAGAAGAACTCGCCACCTATGAACAATCGAAGGCTGCCGATCTCTCTCTCTGGAATCGTCTTGATGCTGCAGTTTTACAATGGATATATGGGACTATATCCAACAACCTTCTTCTTGCTATCCTTTTGAAAGACGACACCGCTCATGCAGCTTGGGCTCGTCTTGAATCCTTGTTCCAAGACAATAAAGTTTCCCGGGCAACCCACCTTGAAGAGGAATTGTCTGATCTCAATTTTGAGAATTTCTCGTCAATTGATAGCTACTGCAACCACATCAAAACCCTGGCTGATCGTCTTGAAGATGTTGACGCTCCTATCCCGAACAGTCGCCTTGTTCTTAAACTCACTGGTGGTCTCCCTGAAGCATACTCTGGCACCGTTGATTTCATCCAAAACAGGACCCGATTCCATCATTTGAGAGTTGTCGCTCTCGCCTGAAGCTTGCTGAGCGCACCATTAAAATTCGTCTGGCAAAGGAGAATGGCTCTAGTAGTCGTGCGCAGACGGCTCTTGTTGCCTCCCCTGGCGGACAGCAACACCACACAGCCAAAAACTCTGGGTCCTCTCGTTTTCATTCCAGAAACAATAAGCCGAAGAAAACAGGTTCTAAACCTGGTAACGGGAAACCATTTGGCAATATGAACCAACAGCCCACTTCCTTTCCTACTGGGCAGACTTGGCAGCAGCAACCATGGGCTTCTTGGGCTCCCCGGTTCTCTCACTGGCCTGTTCCTACACCATGCCCAATCCCGCCACTTCTTGGGCTCCTCGAGCTGCTGCTCTGCATCTGGGTCTGCGATCTGCTGCACCGGGTATTCTTGGCCCTCGGCCTCCTCAAGCCTACAATGCTATGGGTTCATCTGTCAGTTATACTCCTACAGACATTGAAGCAGCCATGCATGCTCTTTCCTTCACTCAACCTGACGGGAATTACTACATGGATACTGGTGCAACTTCACATATGACTGCGGATCAAGGTGCTCTTTCCTCTTATTTCAATTCGGGTATTAAACATCATAACATTGTTGTTGGCAGTGGTGATTTAATTCCAATTGTTGGTTACGGTAGTACTACTTTACCCTCTCCATTCCCCCCATTTACCTTAAACAATGTCTTACATGCTCCCAAGTTGATTAAAAATCTGATTTCTGTCCGGAAATTCACAACCGATAATATGGTTTCTATTACATTTGATCCTTACGGATTTTCTGTTCATGATTTACAGACGGGAACCATACTCCTGAGATGTGATAGTACCGGTGACTTATACCCTTTATTCGCCAACACTCCAGTCAACTCATCCGTCCCTCATTCTGCACTCACTGCCATATCTCCCGATCTTTGGCACATCCGCTTAGAACATCCTGGCGCTGCTGTTCTTAGATCTCTTAGGCATTCAAATTTAATTGATTGTAATAAAAGTCATATGACATATTGTTCCTCTTGTCATCTTGGCAAACATTCCAAAATGCCTTTTTATAATTCTATGTCATATACTGTTCTTCCCTTTGATATCATTCATAGTGACTTATGGACATCTCCTATTATTAGTTCGGCTGGCCATAGTTATTATGTGTTGTTTCTTGATGATTATAGCAAATTCCTATGGACTTTCCCTATCTCAAAGAAATCCCAAGTTCAGCACTTATTCAAATCTTTTTATTCTCTTATCTCTACTCAATTTGAACGTAATATTAAGACGTTTCAATGTGACAATGGCACCGAATATATTAATACCACCTTTAAAGAATTCTTTGATAACCATGGCATGTTATTCCGTCTTTCTTGTCCTCATTCTTCTCCCCAAAACGGAAAAGTCGAACGCCACATAAAATCAATCAATAACATCATTAGGACTTTACTTGCTCATGCCTCCCTGCCCCTCTCCTTCTGACATCATGCTTTACAAATAGCTACATATCTTCTAAACATTCTACCCACCAAAGTCCTAGGATTTCAGTCACCCACTCAAATCCTCTATCAATGTGATCCCATATATTCAGATTTACATGTTTTTGGTTGCTTATGCTTTCCCTTCTTTCCATCCACTTCCATAAACAAATTACAAGCACGCTCCACTCCTTGTGTGTATCTTGGTCCTGCTAAGAATCACCGTGGTTTTAAATGTTACAACATGTCAACCGGGAAAATCATTATTTGTTGTCATGTGAAGTTTATTGAAACCGAATTCCTATTTTCTAAACTTCATAAACCACAACAACATGATTATGACCCTCTGGATGTGAACTCACTTTCCCACCATTTCCATTACAGTACTTCCCCCTCAGTTGGTCGAGAGGAGCCCGACTCTAATGGGCCATCCCCTGCCCCATCTTCTGCCCCGTCCAGTAGCATTGTTCAGTCCAGTCCACCCCCAGATTCTGCCCCGTCCAGCAGCCCTGACCATCCTCGTCCAGTCTCTTCTCAGCCTACACCTTCCATCATTCCTAGCCCAGAAAATTCCCAAACTACCCAACCTATTCCTATTTCCCATCCAATGACCACTAGAGCCAAACATGGCATCTACAAACCAAATCCCAGATATTTCCACAATCTACACACCACTTCCATCTCCCACATATCTCCTATACCCATGACCCTGTAAGTGCTATTCGTGACCCCAATTGGAAAAATGCAATGTTAGATGAATTTAATGCTTTAATTGATAATAATACATGGGAATTGGTACCTCGGCCCAAGGATGTGAATGTTATTAGATCTATGTGGATTTTTCGGCATAAACGACATTCTGATGGTTCGTTTGAGCGATATAAAGCTCGTCTTGTAGGTAATGGGAATACTCAACAGTAGGGTATTGATTGAGATGAGACTTTCAGTCCGGTTGTTAAACCAGCCACTATTCGTATTGTCCTTAGCATTGCCCTCTCCAAATCTTGGTCCATCCATCAATTGGATGTCAAGAACGCTTTTCTACATGGCTATCTCAATGAAACAGTCTATATGCATCAGCCCCTGGGTTTTCGTGACAAGAGTCGTCCTGACCATGTGTGTCTACTGAAGAAATCCCTTTACGGCCTAAAACAGGCTCTGAGGGCGTGGTATCAGCGTTTTGCTGATTTTGTATTCACTATTGGTTTTTCTCATGCTAAATCTGATCATTCCTTATTCATTTATAAACAGGGTACAAACATGGCTTATATTCTTTTATACGTTGATGATATTATTCTTACAACATCTTCTGATCATCTACGGAAGCATTTTTTGACTCTCTTGGGCAGTGAGTTTGCTATGAAAGATCTTGGTCCTTTGAGCTATTTTTTGGGCATTGGTGTCACAAGCACTCCTCACGGTATGTTATCATCTCAAACACAGTGCCACCGAAATTCTGGAACGAGTAGGCATGTCTAATTGTAGCTCCTGTCACACACCTGTTGACACTAAACCAAAGCTCAGTGCCTCTGAAGACACTCCTTATGAGGACCCAACCAAGTATCGGAGTCTGGCCGGTGCTCTACAGTATTTTACTTTTACTAGACCAGCCATTTCTTATGCCGTCAACAAGTTTGTCTCCACATGCATGATCCTCGGGATGAACATATGAATGCTCTTAAGCGCATTTTACGCTATCTACAGGGTACTCTATCACTCGGACTACACCTCTATAAATCTTCCCTCACAAAGTTAATTTCTTATACTGATGCTGATTGGGGAGGATGCCCGAATACCAGGCGATCTACTTCTGGTTATTGTGTATTTTTTGGTGACAATTTGGTCTCTTGGTCATCCAAGCGACAACCAACCTTGTCCCGTTCTAGTGCAGAAGCTGAGTACCGCGGGGTTGCAAATGTAGTTTCTCACTCATGTTAGATTAGAAACTTGTTACTTGAATTACATTGTCCCATCCAGAAAGCTACCCTGGTTTATTGTGATAATGTGAGTGCCATTTATCTGTCTGGTAACCCGGTGCAACATCAACGCACCAAACACATTGAGATGGACATTCATTTTGTTCGTGAAAAAGTCACCAAGGGTGAAGTACGTGTTCTTCATGTTCCCTCCCGTGATTGCGGACATTTTTACAAAGGGACTACCGCGTATATTATTTGATGATTTCCGTGACAGTCTTGGCATTTGTTATATTTGTTAAGTGTATATTTAGCCTCATCATTAGCCTAATGTTTAACCCTTCATTGTAGCTAATCAGTATTGTATTCATAGCCTAACTTTACGTTTGTAACAGCTGTACTCTTGTATATAAATAAGCCTTTGAGCTTAATGACATACAAAGGCAATTATATTCTTTCAATTGCTAAAATAGCAAAACACTCTCATGCTTGTGAGTGATACTACACCTACAAACATCATTTTAAACTTTTGTGAAAAAATGTTGTATTACTACAAACACCTACAAAAATTATTTTGTTGTTCTTGATTTAGATGCTTAATTTTTTCGTATAAGCTTTACTTATTTTATTTTAAAATATAATTTTGTGATAATTCACCCAATACAAGTATAGTTTTACAATGATGGAGTATATAGCCCAGGGACCCCTGGCCCACAGACTCCTGCTACTCTAACAGGCCCATCAGGCCCAGGGAGCACAACCGGTCCAGATCACAGCGCCCCAAGTAACAGGAAGCCCACAGTAGACATATATATGCCTTCGGCTCCCTGGCCGAAGGATCCGGAATCTCACGGGACAATTGATTATGGGCATACGAAGCTACTGGGAGAAAACGGCGAAATCAGTAGCCTTCGGCACTGAGAGCCCTCAGCACTGAGAGGCCTCCGGTATGAAGAGCCTTCGGCTTATCATCTACAGCCGAAGGCATCTTCCTCGACAGAATCTCCTCTCCACATGCGCCTGGATCACCGTACCAAGTACAACGTCACATCCAACCGCCGCATTTAATGTGGCCACATGCAAGTGCCTGTGCCACCCCGATTGACGTGACCCTCGGCCGTCGGATGCTTGACACGTGTCCCCGCCTAGCATTTATTACTACTATAAATAGCAGCCCCTTTCCCCTTTTGTAAGACACAACTTGAATACACATTCTATATTCGAACTCTTTATCTCTCTTACTTACTTGCTCTGACTTCTCTCTAAGTTGCTCCCCGCAGTAACCCCTCGGATAAGCTACCCCCGGGTACACTATCCATCATTTGGTGCTTTCATTGAGAGGTCGAACAATCAAGTAAGAAACCCTCCCCTTCACCAAACACAAAGATACCTACCAAAATGGTGAGAGCGACTCGTGCCCACTCCAAGACCCTTGAGGACAGGAACCTGGCCCTCAGCGAAGTCGACGTCCCCGAAGCCTCTAACAGGGCCCCCGAGGGCGGTGTCATCGCCGAGTTGGACCAGACGGATGTCGACCTACGCCTTCAACACCAGCAGAACACCCCTGATTCCCGCCTCGGCATCGAGGCCCAGAAGGACCGGAGCGAAAACCAAGTGAGCCCTCCGGTCCTCACTATTGATGTGCAATCGACGTTCTCCGCCTTCATCCAAACACTCACTCAAAACCCAGGTGCCTTCGCCACTCTGGTACAACTTCAACCCCAGATCGGAGAAAAAGCCGTACCTCCACCGCATCCACTCCCCTTCGTAAAACCTATCCTTCGGATTGGGAACGACGAAGGGGTCATGGCCCAGGACACCGCCTCCCAGGAGGTTCAATCCCGGGACCGCCACGGCGCAAACAAGGATAGGCCCCGGACCTCCGCCCTAGAACGGCTCAGAGGGGCGCAAGACCGCCGAGGGGTCCAAGACCGCCTCGGAGGAAAGGCGCTCCAAAGACCACAGGAAAGCAGAGGTTCCGTCTCAAGGGCAGACGAGAGGCGTCCCCCTCAAGACAAAGGCAAGGCACCACTCCATGCCAATGACGCAAGATATCAAATCAACCAGGCCAACTCGACATGTGTTCATTCGCAGGGGCGGAGGCCCTTCCGAAGGATCATAGGGACAAAATCATTGAAGCCCTCCAACGCCGCCTTGATGAGATGGAGGCCCGTCAAGTGCACATAACAGCTTCCGCCTCCCAGGCGGACCCCAAATACACCGCCATGCTGGCCAAAATGAAGGAGATGCAAAAGAAAATGGCCGAGGGCTCCGGGGAACCCGTCATCCAACTCCGGACTAGGACGCCATTTACCCCAAGCGTATTGGCGGCCCAAATTCCGGGAAAGTACCGAGGGCAACTCATCAAGCCCTACGACGGAAAGTCTGACCCCCAGGAGCATTACAGCAGATATCAGAACAGTATGATGATGGTAGGGGCATCAGACGAATATTTGTGTCGTTGGTTTCTCTCCACCTTAGAAGGACCAACGTACGAATGGTTCAACTGATTGCCCGAAGGCTGCATCGATTCATGGCAGGAACTCGCCCAACGTTTCTTGACACAATTTGCGGGAAGGCGCCGGTCAAGAAAACACTTCTCCCACTTACTAACGCTGAGACAAAGCAAGGAGGAAACCCTTCGGGACTTCTTGGACCGCTGGAGGACGGAAGCGGATAAGGTTGACGGCGCCGACGACGGAACCCTCCTGGCCCTCCTACAAACCGTCCTCCGCACATGGAACTTTTCAAGGAGCCTTATCATCGAACCTCCCCGCGATTACATAAGGGCCCTACAGCGGGGGGACCGGTACGCCGAGGCCGAGGAGGTGGAGAAATGCCACCAAAACCCCGAGCAACAACGCCCCAAGGCGGATGACAAAAGCAACCAGGGGCCGGGGGCTCCCCCACATCAACCCAGAGGACTGGCACCCCCCGGTGATCGCCCCCGGCATGGCCAAGCCAAGCCCGGAGGAGGTTACAAGGGCAACCCGAAGGCTTGGGCCCAGCCCATTCTCTTGGAGCACCCTTGGACGCCCTTAACACACCCCGTCAGCGTAATCCTCGACTTCACCAAAGAAAGGGGCCTCATCGAGCGAGGCTCTCACGTGCCCTCAGAGGTATATACCATCAACCCCAATTATCCTTACTGTCGGTTCCATCGCAACCAAGAGCACAAGACCGTTGACTGCCATCAGCTGAAGACGGCCATTGAGAAGTTAATACAAGCGGGCCATCTGTCCGAATTTATCTGAAGCCCTTAACACCAAGGGCCCCCACGAGGGCCACCGACGAGGGAAAATGCCTGGGTCAACCCGAACACCATCCCCCTCAGTGACCCGAAGCGTAAGAAAAGGGAAATCATGAATCTCGATGAAGAGGAGAAGTACAACCAGTACCAGGAGAAGAAGCGCCACATCCACATGAAGTGGGACTCCACCAGCTAAAGGAAGAAGTGGGCACAGTCGCTTTACGTGGGGGAAGTCACTCACATGCCCCTCGTAAAGAGGCTGAGGGAGGAGCCCATTATGTTCACCAACGCCGATCTCCCCTCGGTTTCCTTGCCGCATAGGGATGCCCTGGTAATCCAAAGTGAGATCAATAACACCATCATCCACAGAACTTACGTTGATACACGTAGCTCCGTCAACGTAATGTACCTCAGCAGTTTCAAGGAGCTACACCTTGAGAGGGAGTCTCTTCGGCCCATCAAGACCCCTCTGTCCGGATTCACCGGAGACACTATTGATTCCGAGGGGGTCACAACCCTCCCGGTACTCTTCGGCGATGGGCTCCATAGAGCCAAGCTCGAAGTGGAGTTCGTCATCGTCAACATTGATTGCGTCCATAACATCATCCTCGGCCGGCCGGCCCTTGAGGATCTAGAGGCCATCAAATCACGAAGAAGGTTAGTAAAAATGAGTTCCGAGTAGACACCATCACCGGAATTGTGGAGGAAGAAGAGAAGAGGCTGAGGGCAGAACCAGCTGAGGAGGTAGAAGACTTTGCGCTCGATCCGGCCAAGCCGCAGAGAGTTGTGAAGATTGGGGCCAAGCTCCCTGAAGATTTGAAGACCGGGGCCTGCCATAAAGGGCCAACATCCTCAGCCAATACAACATTGACATCCGTCCGAGTCCTGCCATAAAGGGCCAAGCGGTGGCAGACTTCGTGACGGAGTGCACAACAAGATTAGCGGTGGATGAGGAGCCCTCGGCACTCTCGGATGAATGGTGGACCCTCTATACCGATGGCTCCTTAGCCACCAAAGCATGCGGAGTAGGGGTAGTTCTCATTACTCCCGAAGGCTTCCGCACCTACTATGTCATCCGCTTCTCCTTCAAAGTCTCCAACAACGAAGCGGAGTATGAGGCCCTCCTCTGTGGCCTTCGGCTGGCGGCTAACATGAAGGCCAGACAAATCCATGTGAAGTGTGACTCCAAGTTAGTCGGTGGCCAAATTTCAAGGGAATATGAGGCCAAGGAAGGAAGAATGAAGCAGTACAAGGAAGCGGCTAAGGAGTTGCTTAAGGTATTTGAGGCCCATTCTCTCACTCAAATACCGAGGGTCCAAAAATCTGAGGCCGATATATTATCAAAGCTCTCGGCTGAATCCCAAGAGCATCTCTCGAAGATTGCGAGAATTGAGGAACTTAGCCTCTCAAGCATACACGCCAGCCCCGTAATGCAAATACAACAAAGGCCAGAGGACTGGATCTTAGATATTGTCAACTTCATCTCCACAGGGCAGCTGCCCGAGGATGAAACACGCGCCAAACTGGCAAAGCTGAGGGCTCCAAGCTACACCATTGAAGATGGGAGGCTCTATAAACGATCCTACAACGGTACGTTACTCCGGTGCCTTCACCAAGATGAAGCCGAAGTCGCGATGGAGGAAGTGCACAGTGGCACTTGCTCAGCTCATCAGGGACCCTTCTCCATGCCCCGAAGGCTCATAGTCCAGGGCTACTTCTGGACCACGATGGCCCGGGATTGTACGGATCTCGCCCGAAGGTGCACCACATGCCAACATTTTCAGAAGGCTCCCGGGAGGCCAGCAGTCAACTATGCCCCCATCAGCATAGCAATACCCTTCTCCAGGTGGGACATTGACCTTGTAGGACCCCTACCGAGGGGTACCTCCAACAATAGATACATTATTGTGGCCATCGATTACTTCACCAAATGGGTGGAGGCTGAGCCCCTCGCCAGCATTACCGAGGCCAGGTGCCGCCACTTCATCCTCAAGGACATCCTCATAAGGTTTGTCGTCCCCCAGCAAATCATCTTCGACAATGGAACTCAATTTGAGGCAGCCGCCTTCTGTGCCCTCCTAGAGGCATGGGGCATCAAACACACATTCTCATCCGTTGCCTACCCTTAAGGCAAGGGTCAGGTGGAAAATGCCAACCGAACTTTACTTGAGGGCCTAAAGAAGAAACTTAAGGCCGAAAGGGGAGGGTGGGTAGAAGAG